AATCAACGCATTTTTTTAAATTTCAAGCCTGTGGAAACCTAGAGAGCTTCTGATCAGACTGGGAAGAGCCGATACAGAATCAATGAACTTAAACAACAAATTGAGACTTGACTCATTGTGCTGAAAACTGATTCAAATTTCTGGAGCTAATGAAAACTCTTGAAAAAATATTATACCTACTTATCTTAAAAAAATAAAGTTTTGGAAGCGATCATCCCTTGTTCCTAACACAAACACGAATAGAGTTAATACGAGTGAGTTCAACAGAACATACAAAAATTTTGTACACACGAGTCGACAGTTCTTCGACAGTCGAGTCCTAACGAAAGAAGAAAGTCTGAGGAGAACGATAAAAGGTCTTAGGCGCAGTTGATATAACCCACACTGTCCGTAAACGTAGTCGTCTAGTTTTCATGGGAAAGAGGAGAATCTGGATGACTCTTCTTAAGAAACAGGGAAGGATGATGTCTACAATATGCATTATACTGTGGCAGTTCAGTGCAACAATCTTCAAAGGTTTTCAGAATATCATGATGTATCCCATTGTCAAAGGCTCGTCACAAGACAAAGATACTCTACCGGGACCTGTCGAGACACGGAACTTCACTCACCTCACTATACCTCACTCCTCCAGCTCGGAAGCAGCGGCATTCAAACGAAGCCTCAAAAGCGTCAACCAGGGTACTAAAGCTTTGATAAACACACTATGAGATCTCCCTGAAATTCCACACTGTCTTCATTATTTGCAATAATATCTCAGACTAGACAGGAAGTTTGTGGTGGGGTAAACTTTCATGTAGCACGAATCATGCGAACTAACTGCTAGCCATCGGGAGGACTTGTGGACAAGCATAAGGTAGCCAGACAAGCAAATAAAAATGAATGCGGGCACTACATCCGTTCAAAACGATCAGAAGCAAGATGACCAGTTTGTTTGAGCTGTCCTAGTTCTCCGTTGATACCATCTGGTAGGATCGCTGCTGAATGGGAAGACAAGAAATCGTCAAGTCCTTGTGTTTTACGTTTTTTTAGGTTTTATGATGATGCTAATTGATCACACCTTCGAAAATGAATGTTGTCTACACAAGAAAACTATCAATAATAAGTGTACTTATGGTTCCGATCTTGAAAAGTCCGTCAATTTCCCAGGTATACCACAGCTTCTGCATATATTTCGTGCAAATGCACCTAAATTTGTACCGCTTATTTTATTCTAGGTATGTGACCTGTTTTCTATGTAGTACCGATAGTAAAAACTGAAATTTCCAAGCTGCACCTCGAAAATGTGCTAGAGCGCAAATTTGTATCCAAGGTCAACCTGTCAAACCAGCGCTCTACAATTCAATCACCTGTAGAGACGTTCGTCGGGTTGAATGGAATGAAAAAGAGACCTAGGCATCGGTTGAAAACAGAGATGTTGGGTTTATTTTGGTCTGGTAATCGATTTGATTCCTGATAATTGGAAGAGAACAAAGCATTAGGCGATTCTATACAACTCGCTGGCTGCCAACCTACTTTTCTTAACATGTCTGATGCGTACACCGTCTATTTTTAATGTGGAAAATTGATCATCCTGTCTATTCCTCCGGTAATTTTTCAATATCATTTACTAATTTCATTTGTCTAAGTTTTAAAGAAGACCGCTTGAAGGTGAAAAGTTCTTTACTGATTGGTCGCTTTGTAGTTGAGACAATCAGCTTAGATGGGAAGAGTCATCTCAATCTTTGTGAAGCAGCTGTGACAATTTTCCTTATACAACCCATCAGTCAAGTTTAAAATTCTTCGTAGACCGAAACGCGGACCGTTCAATTGCAAGCATATGGACCTATTAATCAAGTTGCCCTGACATTCCTGATTTACATAGGTAAGGTATTTCCGTCCGGTCGATTCAGATTTTCAGTCATATGGGGTGCGTAGCTGTTAATTATGTTACAATGGACGGAAAAGTCATCGTCAAACTGATATTTATTTGCATGCTAACTGAATTCCGATTACTATCCAAAATGTTACCCATGCAGCTTAAACTACTCAAGCTGATAGTCATACATTCTGTTGGCTTTTTCATGTCACCAAGCCTAATGCTAGACATGGGTCGCTATCCGTTGTATATTCTCGATAAAGTATGTACAAACAGGAACCCAGTTGGTGAAGAGTGAGCGAGGAAACATGCCTGGGAATAAACCTAGATTATGGAAAATTCACCCGCTGGACAGATTGGATACCAGCTGAGTTTCTGAGGATGCTAGATGAGGTCACCTGGGCTTTCCAGGTTATTCAACACGCGCCTTTTAACCATACAAAAGAAAAAGGAGTGCCAGGGAAGTTGGTGAGTTTTTTTGCTCGTTGAACACCTGCTTAATGATTGATATCCCTCGAGCGAAAGTCAGTATGAAGGATGGAAGATATGTCGACTGGCTTTAAGGAAAGAACTCAAAAACATCAGAGGTGAACAAGAGGACAGCATTTGAGAAACCATTTTGTGAGATCAGATTTTCACCCAAGGGCAAAATAATAAGAAAACGTAGCTTGGTTATTTCTATTACTCTAGATAGCTAGTCAGTCGTCAAAAAGATAGCCAACAGGTGTAATATTTATCTTTCGTGGAAACTATTCCTAGTCCCATTTCGAGAATTTGTTTTATCTGTCGGTTTACTGCCAACAGATACTGCACTTGCTTTACTGTGGGAAGATGTTAGCTTATTATGTAGGAGAGCTTACGAATGTTAGCTTCCATTAGCTCAAGTTTAGATGTCAGTGTGTTGAATGCCTCCACATCAGTCGCTCCATCTTGGAATTTAAGGCATTCATGTCTTGCTGGTCACTATTCGGCAGCATGGTGCGGCTACCCAGAAGGTAGCTGGGCGAAATCTGAGTTGGGTTTGATTAGGTTTATAGACCACCTCTCTAATCGCAGCTCGTCAGCAGTTGATTGCTACAGTGATAGCTGTCACCGGTCAGCTATCAGCTATTTGCACTGCCATGATTGGGTTCCATAACGATTTGTGGGTTTTTGACGAAATTTGGATCTGATTCTTCCATATGATATCGTCAGACAATGCAAAGTCTTCGACTTTCCATTCTGAAAGCAATCTCACGATTTGTGGGTTTTTGACGAACTTTGGATCTGATTCTTCCATATGATATCGTCAGACAATGCAAAGTCTTCGACTTTCCATTCTGAGAAGTAGTCTCGACGTGCGTAAACTGATTAGGCTTTGCTCTCCGTCAGTCTTGGACTATATAAAACCATCATTCTACCATTGATCACCTCTTTGGAATCAGTAAAATGCACCAGTCCCTGTTGTCGACCTGTCCTGATGAAAGACAATGCATTTTGTTTCATCGATCGGACATCAATTCAAGACGTGTTCTATCATATCATCACGTGTCCACAACATCATGCCTGGAGATGACCGAGCCTAATCGCAGTCGTGAACTGCCCAGTCATGATCCTTTCCAGATCCGGCAGGGCCGTCACTTTTGACAGTTTGTATATCACCATGCTTGCGTGCTTACGTTTTCCCCTTCCACACCTGTCCCACACTTGACAGGTGTGTTCGTGCTCCGCTAAGCGTCATGATGTTATCGTGAATACGAGTGCAGAAGATCGCCAGAATGGAGGATGACTGAGGCTGTGCCTAATATGGTTTGGGTGAAAGTATGGATGTGCACAACATTTCAACACAAAGTAAGTTGATTGTTGCCAACCAAGTGAACCAGTAACGATGAATTGTGCGCAGATGGGTGACTAAACAGTACTGATTATTCAGACTGGGGTTATTTTATTGGGCCGATGCGTGAACAAAGACAATTTATGTGTACAGTACATCAGAACAATGTTGGGGGAGATTCTCCTAATTTTTTTTAGTTACTGTACATTTTACATGTTTTATAAACACAGAATCAGTTGGATAGAAAAACTAACCTCACATCTGGCTGACCTTGCCTCAGATTCCTCTGAATATCAGTGCTCCTGTCAGTAAGCTAAGCTAAGAATAACCCTGAATGAGTGCTACTCTTTGCTTTATTTCCACCAGATAAAATATGGCACAACTCCTCAATGAATGTGTTGTGCTTGCGGAAAGTGTGAAGCCCCGTGAATTTGCCTTTGGGAGCATGCTGACAGCACTGTGATGACTAGGAAATAAGGAAGCTCTATGGGCGCTAATCAAAGCCGATTTAGTCACAGCATTCAAGAAAATGTATTCTAAATATAATATATTTTTCGCCATGTTGATAGCCCACTACTAAAAATACATCCCTATGGAAAACAAGTGGATCCTGTGGTGATGGCGAAAACGGAGTCATCCTAACTGGATGAAAAGGCTTCAAACTCGACGTCTGGCTGTCACCATTCCGCTACAATAAATAGGCGTTAACGGCAACCAGAGGAAAAGTGTAAGTTAATCACAATGCTCGACAACCGCGGAACGTTCAATTGTTCGAGCTCCTAAGCGGGAGGTCGCGAGTTCGAACGCCCTTGGAGTTTTGTGAGATACGCATGGCTGACGATTGCCAATAAGGATGAAACAGAAGTACAGTGGTTCTTGGCTTTTCAGCATTGATTTCTTTTAGTGACAAAAAGAAATATCAGTTGGAAATTAATAGAAGATTCTGGAGCTAGTTAGTTTCCTGAAATGACCCTTGAAAGCATACTGTTCAGATCATGATGACTATTCGAATGTGCGCTGACGGAAACAATGCCTCTGGTTTAGCTTCACCACGGCTTACCTAGTTACCCCTGTGGCAACTGGTTATTCATTCGACTATTGGCTAAGTGATAACATCCCATTTGATCGTCTGGTCACCCTGCATCTAACCGCTAACACCACAAGGGGCTTCGTGAACCACGAATCTGGGGGAAATTTGTAGCCTACCGGGAATGACGGTCTACAGCCGTCGTGGGTTTAAAACGTTTGCATTGTGAAGGGAAAAGTGTCTATTTTGACCATCATTATTCTAGTACCTGGTTTCTATATACATATATTTCCTTGTTCTTCTCATCCAGAAAAACACTGACTCTTTGGTATTGCCCAGTAGTCAATGTGCTGTCATCGTGTTTTATGGGCGTGATTCACGCTGAAAGTGCGTAGCTCTCGTCTTTTGTCAGCATTACTGAAATCGTTTTGATTTCAAAAGCATGGAACACAGGAAACATCTTGCAAACATCTATTTGGTTCAAAAGGCTACTGCTGAGTTGCGCTACTACCATGAAGAATGACGGTCCTCAAGGTCAGGAGGGGCTTTTTCTTCCGCCAGGGATATTAGAATGAGTGGCTGATTAAATGGAAGAAAGTAAGCCCATTTACAACAGGTTTCTCTTACCCAGTTTCCCTAAATACGCTTACAAGAACTGCAGGACATTATCGTTACGTTTAGGTAAATTAGCAAATAAGCAGCTGAATCTGACCATACAAATAATGCCTTAAACTCAAAAGAGTTTCCCTGTAAAGCGATTGCTCTGAGGCTGACAGTTTCAAAGTGATACCTAAATGAAAGGTGACACAGTTGCACAGTACAGCCAAGTGATCAGATTACGTTATCTTATGAAGTATTGAGTAGTAGATCGGTATCCATCAATTAGGTCGCAGTTCACCAGTTACTAAAGCAACTGAACGATGAGGTCCCGAGCGGTAAGGTTTTCTTAGTAGCTAACTAGATGGACAAAATCTAGTTGAGTTCCACAACTAAGCCTCGTGACAAAATCATAAGCTTGTCAGTGCTTTTCATCGTTGCTGCACTACCGACAGAGAGACTTGAATGACTTGTGGTCAGCAGGTGACAAATAGTACCAGAACTAAAGTCGAAAATTAAGAGGAATATTACTTCAGTGGGCGCGGTTACAAAACCAGAATTGAAAGATGAGTGAAACAGAGTTTCTCCGTGGTGTAGTCTCATCGACCGAGATTTCTCTGATATTTTCCCGTTTTTTTCACTTTGCTGTGGCTTCAATGAATGTAGCAAAACTGTCTGACCGAGCCACCACACAATTCCTATTTCAGGACAGACTTTGTCCCATTATTTATGTTTCACATGTTTGAGCATTTAAAACTTTGTTGCACAAACGTTTGCTGTGGGTTCGAATTTAGATCAAGACCATAACTTTGCCCGTCCAAAATCCTCACGAGAAGGAAAAGAAACCATTGTTCAAGTAGGAGGGATATGTAAAATGCCGCATTCCCTTATGGTAGTAGCATTCGAATGTTTTGATTTGATACACTCTTTAGAAGATGGGCTGTGGATGGATTTTCAGCAACCTGATGTGTAGTTGATTTCAATTGATATATATATATATATATATCGCGATATTAAAACATAATAGACGAGAGATTCAGCTGGGTTCCAGGTGAGTCCCCCGTTAAACCAAATTGGTTTGCAAATGAGTTTATTTCGCTATGTTTGAAAGTTAATTTATACGCCTCAGAGTCCCATTAACTACTAGGTACCGATCATCTGCTTATTTTCCGAAGCTAGGCGGTGTACAAATAAGCTAAAAACTCGTCATACTAGTGGGTAGTGTGGCTCTGAAATGCATTCAAACGGTGCACAGGGCAGCAAAATTCTGTAATTCGATAAACTAGAGAAGTACACAGTATTCATATCTAATTTTCCCATGTTTAAATGCATAGATAAATTGGCTTTTGGGAAACTGCCACGATTTTTCGGCACGAATGTGAAGTGGATTTATTCTTCTTCCAAGACGTTCTTCATATGCTTCGACATATGCCAGCTAATACCAAAGAACATTCTGTTGTGTTCCGTCTGGCAGTCCAACTTAGACCAGAATAGCAGACACTTTTTACAAATTATCGTGAGGACTTTTGTGTGCGAGATTCTAGTCAGGAGGATGACAGTTATTCTGCTGGTTTCTGTCTTGAGGATTTAATTTAAGCGAACAAGAAGTGCGACTAGTCATTTAAAAACTACAGAAAAGAATGGTTCTTTGTTGCACGTGCTGGTCATAATGGGGCTGTCTGCCGCCCTTAAAAATATCGTTACAGTTCCCCACTGTAGAACAACTGAAGTTTGTTGGTTTTTGCAAACAAATGCTGGAAAATTCATCGTTATATTAAATTGTGCATCAGTTGTTCGTACACTAGGAGGAGGTGCACTCATTTAGCAACCAAGTGCTTCCCAATGACGCAAATTTCCAGCTGCCAATTCGGTGAAGTTGTTCTCATCAAAATTTTTATTCAGGTTGAAAATCTGGGTGATCTGAATAGAATAAATATCTGGCGAAGTGTTCCTCCAGGTAAGAATGTCAAAGTTTCGAGAGATAACCTTTATTACCAAAGAAACTTTGTTTTGCATTTCTCATCAATATATCACCCCAAAATCCAGAAATCGGTCCGATACAAACAGCATTATTGGAAGAAGGCGTTCACAACAAAGCATTACTATTTATTAGTGACTGCTGTTATTTCCTGATACAAGGCGTAGTATCGGAGGTGAGATATCTTAGTGTTTAGGGCGCGAACTTACTCATCGGTAGGTCCGCGGTTCGAACTCGGCTTCTGCATTTTGACTTCTGCTTAGACGTAAACAACCTGGCAGTATCCCAGCCCTCGTGCTTCCTTCGGGTGACATGGCACCTAGGCATCGAAAGGGTGTTACAGCTAGGCGATTATTTATTTATTATTATTATATAGACGTACTATCCCTCCGCGACCGGAGCCTAAATGGGCTGATTAGCAGAATTTAGCTAAATGCAACATGCTCCCACTATAGTGTAGAATGTGTGTATGTACTTTGTACATAATACATGTATAAAATCAAACGTGCATCAAGTAAAACCCACCAGTTTATGTTGGTTGGGACACATCCACACCCAAGGCCGTGCTCCCAACTTTAAAAGACCCGCGGGGGATAGGCCATGACTTGACGAGGGGAAATGAAGACGTCTACAGTCATATTGAGTGCCGCGGAATATCTACTTCTCCCTAGTCGCGATCTCCTACACGCGGCTTGAAAATGTACAGCACATGGCACGCAGTAGTTCCCAATGGTGACCACGCTATCACTTTCTAAGCAGACAGCCGTGGTAACGTTCGTCTGAATTTTTAGGGCGGGCTCATGCCGAGCAATCTTTGCAAAGAATGTTGATGGCTTCAAATGAGTTAATTTTGTTGCTGTTCTAAGGTGCAGGTATGTTATTGTTGCTCGTTTTCCATAAAGACCTGAGGCTGTTCGCTAGCCAGTACAGCAGTCGATGATGAGAATGACAGGAGCTAACTTCTCAGTTACACGGATTTTCCTGTAACATACACCTATGAGAGCTTTCCGTCTAAGCTGTGCCTACCCGGCGTAAATGCTGTTTGGTAATGGTCATCTATGGGTGCCATCTATGGGTAACAAGTGGTTTTTTGCCACAACAGTAACAAACAAATTTTCAGCTCACTTGTTCGGTTATCAATCCTACCGCCATCATTTTCTTTGTCTGCTCGGCTCTAGCGCTGTCATTTGTGTGATAGTCAAGGTAATCTTTGCAGTACAGTTATGGTGAAAGAAGGCATTCGCTGCTGAGTTGTTTATTAGAAAATGCCAACTGACCAGTTACAGACTATTGGAAAGGGAAGCAAAACTCTCATATGCATCGCATATCCATTTTCTTCCTGACTTGCTCAAATCCAAGCGAATGCCACAAAGTGACTCCACAAAATCCGCAACAGATCTTACTTTTCAGGAGACGCAAAGCGAATTTACGAAAAAACATACTACTCGCATGCTTCCCCATCAGTAGTATCACCGTGACAATGGTAGCTTGTATGGTGCATACTATATTCTCACGTCTAGTACCACTTGACCGAAATTCCAAGTCTAGCATTCACCACTCCTAATGGCCCCGTGTTTTTCTGTGTTCTGTGTCACGATGGTCCAATCACGGGTAAACATACACGAACCGTTGATGTGCGATATTATCAATGCTAAAGTTTATTTTGACCAGAACAAAATGCGGCATTATCCAGATAGGCTTTCATGCAGTCTGTTGCGACACATATTCGCTAACTAGAACCGTAAAACATGTTTGGGTGGTGTGGACAAAAATTTTCAATGAAAATAACAGGATAAGCACCAAGTTTTGGACACAGATACGCGCTCTTTTCACAGCACGCGTAAACATTTGCATATAACAGATATTCCTGGAACGGGATTGGGGTAATCGCTCTTATCAAGACCACAGGTTTTACTCACTAGGCTTTTGGACTTCACTTGACCCAATGAACAAGACACAGATACGCGCTCTTTTCACAGCACGCGTAAACATTTGCATATAACAGATATTCCTGGAACGGGATTGGGGTAATCGCTCTAATCAAGACCACAGGTTTTACTCACTAGGCTTTTGGACTTCACTTGACCCAATGAACAAGTCTCGCTAACAGCCGGTCTAGTGGATCCGTACATAATTTTGTTCAGTGAATACCGCGCAAGAAGACAAACGCTGTGAACATGTCCTCAAAATAACTACCTTGCTAACCTTCCACTGATATGATCCTCTCAAAATTTTCGAAGTTACATCAAGGGTTCGGTGACCAATCGGCCATCGTGAATGCCAAACGTCACAGCCAACCAACAGCTCACTGAAGATATCTCCTCGAATAGTGACGAAACGTTTGCAAATTAATTGCCAAGCTCGGCGAATAGATCAACAGCCACCTGATCAACTACCAACAAACGTCAGCTGCTGTTTACCTGAATGGAAAATGTTCGTATTAATCTTCATTTCTAAGAGTTTTCTCAATGACATGCCGTTCAGTAGAGGTTGAAATGCTCGACCAGAAATTGTTGCGTCTGCTAGAGCACAAAGCTAATCAAGAGGGTTATAGTAAGATTCACACCGAGCAAAAGTTGATTGTTTCCTGTAAAAAGACTTTTAACCACACAGAAACAAACATTGTACAGAAAAAAATAATCCTGAGGAGAAATATCATGAAGCCCTATCAGAATTCAACAAATTAAACTATCAAACTAATCTAAACTGATCCGAATAGTAGTCAGAAAATAACTGAAAATGCATAGAACCGTTGTGTTCAATGTGAGTCTACTGGCAACTGACCAAGTTGCTGTTGATCCGCTCGCCAAACTCGGAAAGTCGCTTGAAAACGTTTCGTCAGTAATTTTGGGGCATCGGTGCCCGATTGGATAGTTTGTGCTACTTGTTTGAATTCGCACACAGGCACACACAATCTGGTGCCAATTAGTTGTAGGTACTTCGTGTTAGACGTCTTTAACAAATCACTTCTTGTGAGTTCCGGTTTTGTCAAATCCGGATGTCCATTTCGGTCGCACTGCGTAGCCAAATAACCTGGTGGAAGATTCTGTTCAGTGGATCGTATCCCATCGTGTAGTTTATATCGGCTCAAACAAACGGCAAAAATAATTCACACAGGCTTGTCACCTTTTTTGCATTGGAAAACAAGGTTTCACCCTTCGACGACACTTTAAATGTGTATCTACTAGTTGCAGTCTACCACATCCCTTTCGTTTGCATGCTAGATGATAGATCTTCAAGAGTGGTGAGGCGAGCTGATCGTAAGCTTTGAGTAGTCATCCTAATTCAGGTTGATTGACTAGCTGAAATTTCTTCTGTGCGGTTACATTGTATCATGACGGCGAGTAGATCTTGTGAACGAAAATTTGTATCCTCGTGTCGAGCATCATATGTTGGTCGTACGACAAGGAATTTGTCGGACAGAATGCGAGAACATAATCCCGTATCTCTGAGTGATAGTGAGAAGAAACCAGGCTCAAGCGCGATCGCATCACATTTGGCCGAAACCAGCCATGTCATAGACAGGGAGCAAGCCTTCACCATCATATACCGGGTACCTCTGAACCGATCACGACTGGTACGATCCAGACTACCATCGATCGCACAGGCGGTTGGAATCCGACTGCTGGATCCGCAACTTTGCATCCAGAAGAAACTTGTGCGACCTCTGAACTTGAACTGGCCTACGAAACATCCGATCCCTCAATTCTGTCTAACATTGACATCACTTACCTGATTCCGTGACCCATTGACCTATACATCATCCAACCCCCTTTCCTTTGATTTTTATTTATCTAAGGTGTATATAGCCTCGATCTCAGTCTTTTCTACGGGATTTCTGCTGCCATATACATTTGTGATGTATTAGTCAATGGGAACAATTACAGAAAACAAGCTTTGTTCGCTACCTTCTTCGTTCTTATGACTACTACGGATATATTCGGCCGCCTGAAGGACAATTTATCTGTTTGTCAAGCCTATACGCCCGTCATCTTTGTAATGGCTGAGCTTGAATTTCTAGATTCCTTGACTCGTCCCATAGCTGAATCTAGTCGATACAACTTAAGTGTTCAAACAGTTTTTCTAGGGTTTCATGCCTCGAGACAGGCTTTCATAAGCGGTATTATAATGCAGTATGTATAACCGCTGGTTTACTGTCTGCGGTAAATATAGCTACAGGCTTTCGATCACCAGTCATTGGATGGACCACTATGATTTCCAAGTTTGATACTGCACGTGGCTGTTGAGAGGGCGAGGAGACTCTGTACTCAAAAAAACGAGTCAATATGAAGCGAACCATAGTTTGAACAAGGTAACTTTCATGTACATAACTAGAGTTGTCAAGAGCAGATGGATTATTTTCACGACATATTTACACATCGTGGTTCAGCTGGTGCAGACACAGCTTTTGGGGACAATCTTGATAAACGTACATGTTGTGGGTGTCGGCGCAATCATCTGATGTCTTGCTACTGTAGTCTCTTAAATGAGAAGTTCCAGCAAGGTGCCAGACCCCCCAACCAGAGACACGCCAAAATAAATAGGGACTAGAATCCGGGTCGTCTAAGGTAATGGTCAAACACTCACCATCGCCTGCTGGATGAATCCTAGTGTATTATTATCATTTAAAAATCCACTGCTGAAAAATCTAACATTCACCTTGGCTTGTTTAATCAACATGGGCTTCGTTATCATACCAACAGCAGCTGACTTCCAGGACATATTGAACATATTGAGTCACCGATTGAGTTACACACGAAGTTGCGAAGAAATTCAGCAAGACGATCGGACACTTTGGCGGCATTCTAGCTAATAGCCAGTACATAGCTCAATAAGGGTTCATCGTCAATATTGTGGCTCTAATTGCGTTTTCCGTATCATCGCACGAAATTCTTCAGGGGTTTCATTCAATACGAGCCTGAAGAAAGCAGAATATACGTCAGGGGCAGCTGGGAAAACATTTAGGACCTGTTTCCATCTTCTATCCAGCTGAAAGGTTGACAGATCAGCCTTCAAGGTAGTGTTGTTTTTACTCTGAGTTACGTACTTGGCCGCTGCTTTTTGCCGTGGCCGCGTGTTCAAGCAATCGCGTTTACAGAAATTGCGCCTGACGCTAAAACTCGCGAGTTTTGACACATGACTGACAGTTATAGCATGTTATGCGCACGTTTGCAACATAGAAAGAATAGGAGCTAGAGACTTTTCTTATCTTTTTTCATCTTAATGTCATGGAGAGTGGTATTTCCGTTATCAGCCTTTCGTCAAGGTCTATGCACTGCTCTGTTTTGTAGGACGATTTAATTCCGTGTTACACAGGCATCATTCATTGGTTGGTTCCCAAGCATGATTCATACACACATGCTAGTGAAAGTAA